CAAAAAGTTCTACTCACCTAGAGCTTTCGACCAGTCACTCTGGTCTTCCTCAGTAGACTGACCCAGTCGAAGCTTCTCACGTGGCTTCTTTGAAGTGTAACGTCAACACTGGGTCAAAGATAGCTGGTAGACAATGTCGTCCCCCGTCGCGGTTATTGATAAATTCCCTAACCTGTCCCCACATACAGGGTAACCGAGTGGAGTTCTTCACGACCGCTGACGGCCGGCGCTACACGTACGACTCGGCCGGAAATATCCTGTATTACACCGACGACGGCAGAGCCTACCGATACGACAGCGACGGACAGATTGTCTACGTCACTTCCGGCGAGGGACGCACAGTCACCTTCGTCGGCTCCGGCTTCGAGAACGGGTACGTCATCTTTTTTGTGTCTTAAAACTTCGAAATGACTGACATGATTGCTTTAGATAATTGACTTTACGTAAGTGTAACGTAAGCATAGAGTCTAGTGTGTTTGGGTAGCCTCTACCAGGCTTCGGGAGGCGGCTGGAAGAATAGAAATCGGCCAAATAGAGAGATAGCATGCCAAGGGAGTTGGTCTGCACGGGTGCGACAAACTGTTCTCTCCAGCAGACCAACTCCCCTGTCATGCTATATCTCTATATGGCCAATTTCTACTCTTTCCAGCCGCCTCCCGAAGCCTGGTGGAGGCTAGATAAATCACCTTTTTTGTGTCTTAAAACTTCTTGGACTTCGAAACGACTGGCTCGATTGTTCAAACACTTCACTTGCCTTTATTCGTAAGTGTAACACAAGCATTGTCTGTATCGCCAGTTTTGTTGCCACAAGACTGAGTGTGCTCAGTCCAGAACCAGATAGGCACGGTTCTGGATACAATTAGACTATCCAGAACATGCTTCATCCTAACCCTATCCCTCCAAACAGTGACCTCTGGCCTGACTGAACCAGCTCTCACCATGGTAACTGGTGTTGGGTTACATAATGTTGCAATTTTATAGTAGGAGGGATTTAGACTCCTGTCACCATATATGCGAATGTGTTTGAGTAAGATACTAAGGCGTCAGGGTGAGAAGGTGAGAAGACTAAGAACTAACAGGGCAGACCATATGCGAAGGTAAATATTATGCATTTGCTTTGTAAATGTTACTTTTCTAGTTCTCACGCTGTTTTCCCCCTTAGGGTTGGCGGTGAGGGCGTCACACGGCGGTTCCGGGTGGACTCGAGCGGGAACGTCGTCAGCCTGGGAGACCAGCCGGCGGAGGGTAGAGCCCTGTAGCCCCGCATGCTGCATCCCTAAAACACCGAGAGCTGCACGGAGACAGCCCCCACCAGACTGGGAAAAATTATTTTAGTCAATTTTAGTATTCAAGGGGAATGATCTGCCAGGGAAATTTGGCCGTCTTATGGTACTCTCCAAGCAGAGGTTTGGGTTTTGGCTTATTTTTTTGCTTGTTTCTAGGTTTCTTTTTTGCATTGACATCTTGCTTTTACGCCAACTCAAAAAGATATCAGTGCAAAAAAGAAACCCCAATAAAAAAGCCTAGAAACACGCAAAAAATAAGCCCCAACCCAAACCTATACCTGGAGAGTAATCTTATGGCCCTTACTACGGGCTCACTCTTGGCCACCGCTGGTTGAAAAGATAGTAAAATTTAACCGAATGGGGGGAGTGACTCGCCAGGGGAGTTTGGCCACCACTACCCATGCAGTGCCAATAGTGTCCACCAGACTCTATTACGGGCTGAATAAATAGTAGAAATCGAACTGGACAGGGGAGTCGGCCGGGTCCACTTTTTCTGCATACAAACTGGACCCTCTATGGCCGGCCAACTCCCCTGGCCAGCTCAATTCTTTTTAGGCCGATTTCTACTATTTATTCAGCCTGCAATGGAGTCTGCCGGAGACTAGTATATGACCTGGGCTTTTTACTCTCATTGCGGTCTCACTCCCTTGGTCAGTTATTCACCCTATTTTCGCCAAAATGTAGTAAGTTTTTATTATTCATTACCCCGGCCCTTCGAAAGGCCTGGTGGAGGCTACACGGATTTGTATATTATCTGCGTATAAAAAAAAAGCAGCATCCACCTATAGTAATATCGGATCTGTATAACTACACGTAGAAACGCAAGTATATACACAGTAACTGTAGTGCATTGTCTGTGAGAAAGATCTGGCATGTGTTTGACCATGGAGTTAAAATCATGGAGATAAAATGATTTTACCTCCTTGGTTTGACAAGCATGTTGTGGCCCTTATTAATTAGATGCAGCGTTCAGAAGTGAGATTTGTTGTTATAATTAAAGCCTGTAATATTGTAGGTTTTTTTTCCTCTTGTTGTAATCTAAACTGCTGTGCACGTATAAATAAATGTGCTAATTATGAATTAACGCTTGGACAAGGCAGACAGATATGTAAGGCACATGTAACTGGATGGGGTGAAATTCAACGCCCGTTTTCAATAAGAAAGCAAAATATAACATTTGAGTTTGGACCAAAGATCGAGAGCCTTTGCTTTTATTTTAGCACGATAGGTGACTCGAATAGCTAGTTTGCCGTGTGATGTTAACGGGCCGGGCACGTATCTTATCTCCAAGCAGATACCAAGGGTGGCAAAAGACAGTATCAAATTGGCCAGGCTAGCTGTATCCACTGGCCAGAGAGGGTCCAATACGCCATCCAGTGCGACTTTCTGCAGATCCTTGGCTGGCGTATTGGACCCTCTCTGGCCAGTGAATACAGCCTGGCCAATTTGATACTGTCTTTTGCCACCCTAGAATCTGCTTGAAGATTAGCATGTATCCTGATGATGTGTGGTGTGGGCATGGCGATGGCGTGGGGTGGAGTGTGTGTGTTCTGCACGATGTGTGGTGTGGTCCGCATGGCGCTTGGATAATGTTCTTTGGTGTGACATGAAGTGGAGATACATTCTGCATGTTCCACTCTGGCGTGAAGTCTTAGTCCCTTCCTGTCCTGCATCGTGAATGGTATGAGAAGTTGGAGTAGTCAGTACCTGAGAGCGACAAGTTGTTTTTCTAGGCGGCAAAGCCAGAGGCAGTGCTCCGGCAGAGATGACAGGCGGCGACGAGGACGGCGCTCTGGCAAGCATGACAGGCGGCGAGGATGGTGTTCTCGCAAGGGTGACAGGCGGGAGGACCACCGAAGACGTCGAGAAACCGAAGGGACGTCTTCCGAAGCCGAGCAAGCGGCGCCGACACCGGAACCGAAAACGGGGCGACCGAAAAGCCGATCGGGACCGGAAGGAAAAGCGGGAAAACCGTCGGAAGAAGAAGGAAGCACGAAAAAATGGCAAGAAAAATGCCGCCCAGGAAAAGGGCCAGAAAAATGGTGAAGGGAAAAACAAAATTAAGCGCCTTTTGGTCAGGGTCGTACCTCGTGAAGATGTAATCCATCAATAAAGAAACTTTATTTGCAAAATCAAAAGAAAATCCTGATCAATGAATCAGGATGTAATCGATTACGAAACGAACGGGAACCAAGCCGGCCTCTGATTGGTTCAGGGTCAGAAAACAAGCCATCATCAACCAATCAGGACCGAGGACACAAATATGACATGAATACCGAGCCTTACTACATTAACGATTAACACAGATGTTTACTACGTCTTATCAGTTAGATACTCTTTACTACAATGTTGTATCTGATTCTAAATCACAGGTTGGTGCTATTATCTAGAAATGTGTCATTTTACCGTTTTTACTAAGTTTAGATTAATTACTGAAAATTGGAATTGTGTTTCCAACCTTGTATGTTAGTGAGGTTCAAAGACACCCGGTAGTTTGTAGGACGTATATTTGACGGTGCTATGTTTACTCTGTGAAGAAAGACTGAATGCGGCTACAGGACATTTCCACACGACTGTAGACGCAGAACACAGTGGATGATGATGATGATATTTACTCTGTTGGGTTTTTACCTGTTTAAAGTAGGTTTTGTGATTATACGAGTAAATGAGGAAAGAGTTTGTTGTAAAACTCTGCACTTTTAAAGTACGTATGCTGTACACTTACCATGTCGGAATGTCCTGAACAAGCGCACGTACCTTCAGCATAGTCGACGTAAAATGTGTCCTCTTTCGAAGAGCAAAACTTTTTTTCCTTTTTTGTTGTTGATCATTTTCTTTTAGGTGTAGCATAAACGTTTAACCTTGACGTAAATTATGTAATCTTCTAAAAGCAAAGCTTATCCTTTTTGTTATCATTTTGTTTTAGGTTGACATGAATTCAATACGAGTCAGTATCCAGGATAATGTGCGACATTATGTTAGCTAATAGAGTAAACATGGTGGTAGATTTTGTATCAACAATAAACATTTACCAGCAGATTTTTTTTCCTTCTCGCTAAGGGTAAGTATTGTTTTGGGTGTCAGAGCTGTAGGTTTCTGTTTCTCCTGAGCAGGTTGACAGCACGTGGGTGGGTGGGGAAAAGATTGAAAGAAAGAAATGCCGTACCTTGTTTGCCCGCCAGGTGGCGTGCAGCCCGAGCCTAGCATGCATGTCGTACCGATTGTGCCCACCAGGTGGCGTACAGAATGTAGCTGGATAAACATGCATGTCGTACCGAGTGTGCCCGCCAGGTGGCGTACAGCCCAGAGCCGTTGCGTGACAACGATCCCAGCACGGTGACCCCTAAGATCGACCATGTTTCTGACCAGAGGGGGTTGATTTACCTGAGAACTGATGAAGGTGTGCCGGCGGGCGATCTGCCTCCCCGACGCGCGTTTTTAGTAAACGGTCGTTGGCATTTACGCGGTCGATACCAAATCGGAGAGTATCACCATGGAGGTAGAAAAAAATGTTTTTCTAATACCTCCATGGTGTCACCCAGTATGAAAAGCTCGAATTTCTTACACATCTCCGTTTGAAAAAAAAAAAACAGTTTTCTATTACAAGTACTTAAACCAACACAGAAACCGTTGCATAACGTGAAAACGAGCTATAAATGGTCGTAACGGAAGTTGTACCCTCTCTCATGGCCTCTCATGAGATCCTTAGCTTGAAGTAGAGCGCCACCCCCGAACACACTTGGTTCGGTCCACCGTCATGGCAGATTCCCGAAGTCCCACGCTCTTGGCAACTGTTTCGGGTCGGACGCTACCATCCCGCTGGGGGGTGCACAGCACAGCGTGCGACTTACCAGCAGTTCTGACGCGACCATCCCGTTGCGCCGGCCGGGGGTGTACAGCTAGCGTGCTAGCCGTGCATGACCCTGTCCACCCCCTGAGGCTGTAGTGCCGTTGCCCCGCGGCAGTAATCAGAAGTGCATGTCGGAGCTAGTCCTGCCGGCGGACGGACTACATCCAGCCTCCTGCACGGAGCTTCTACTGCTGCAGACATAACCGTGTCTCTACATATCTCCCGGGCAGACGGATCTTAAAGGTAAGACATCTTTCTCTCGTAAAACAGGCTGTTGATGTGTCTTAATTGTCTTGAAGGAGCGGCGATGATGCCTTGAGGCGTTGCAATGTGTCTCTCTCCATCTTGAGGGTTATTCTGTGTGTCTCCACTCTGCCTAGCTAGCTCCCCCCGAGGGAAGAGAATTTACTGACACTTACACACACTGGATCAACACGGTCCATCATTCGATCGTGACACCTTTCTCTCCATCTGTCGTGCTGTTGTCGGGCTGTTGTCGTGTTGTTATCCTGACTTGAGGCGTTGCAATGAGTCTCTCCATCTTGTGGGTTATTCTGTGGCCTTCTGTGTGTCTCCGCTCTGTCTAGCTTCCCCCCGAGGCACGAGAATTATAGACACTTTCACACAGAGGATCAACTCGGTCCATCATTCGATCGTGACACCTTTCTCGCCATCTGTCGTGCTGTTGTCGTGCTGTTGTCGTCCTGTTTCCGTGCGATAATCGCACATCAAAAATCTGCCACGGTGGTACCGATGTTTGGGTTTATTTAACCCGGGGTTAAGAACACAGTAGGTGAAAGTGCCGGCGGCTGACGGGCCAGGCGCTCAGGGTGGCGCAAACCTCCAGACGTCAGGTTCCCTTTCTTAAAGACTTTCTGCTGCCACGTCTCAGGAATGTCACCCCTGCGACGGTACACCTTCGCCGTGCAGGTTGCTTTCTTCATCCTTACGTCTCCTAAGGGGGGGGGGTCTGCATGCCCTTTTTCGTAAGGCGTAATCAGGCCTTTTTAGTCTTCGTAATCATCCGTAGGCAGCCTCCCCCAAAAATCAACTTAATTCGTAATCAGTACATTAGCCAAGAAGCGTAAAGTTGTAATCAGCTCTGGGAATTTAACGTAATTCGTAATTGGCGGCGAAAATCTAGCGTAATTCGTAATCACTGCCCCCCCCCCCCCATGCAGACCCTCCCTGAGGTTTCGGTAGGGGGATACTGTATTACCGGTGGGGGTTGTCTAAGGCATCAGGTCAGGGGAAATATTTGTTGATGTCGGGATGTCAGGCTGATGCGGCGGTGTCATCATTCATGGCGCTCACTACTAAGGAGCTAGCTGCGGCGGTTTTTCCTGGCCCGGGAGGAACCCATAAAAGCAATAAAAGAAGTTAACAACACGCGCAAGTTCTGCTAAAAGTTGAGTTTAAAAATGGAAAAAGATTCGCGGATACATTTAAAGATGTCGTCGTGAAGATAAGCGACTCCCTGGTAGATCATTGATCACCATCATTCTGTCACTCAGGAGAGGTCATCAGCCAAGAATTCAGAAGAATTCGATCGGAAGCCCTTGCCGCAAATGTTTCAGTATTTGTAGCTTCCACTGCTGTTTTGGGATACCAGGCTAGTTTTGTGAATCCATGGAAAAAATAAATGGAGAAGCAACACGCGTCACTCCATGGCAGCTCAAAGTTGAGTTTCAAAACAGGAACAATTTCACGGATATTTCAGATGTCGTCGTGAAGACGCCTCGGTGGGTCCGACCTGATGTTTTGGTCCCGCCCACGGGTCCATTGGGTCGGATCACGTTCTCTCTGCGATCCCTTCAAATCAGCCACAAACGCGTCCCTTCTGTTCGAAGTTGAGTTTTAAAAGACTAGCCTCTAGCAGGCTTGATGGCGCGGCTGGAAATAGTAGAAATTGGCCAAATAGAGAGATAACACGCCGAGGGAGTTTAGCCATCCTTGAGGGGCCGGCCAACTGTAAACTGGATGGCTAAACTCCCTCAGCGTGTTATACATTCTATTTGGCCAATTTCTACTTTTTCCAGCCGCGCCCTCAAGCCTCGGAAGCATGCGGCCTTGAGTGAGTGAGTGAGCCCTCAAGCCTGGTAGAGGCTATTAAAAGACCTCAAGACGGAAACAAATTCGTGGAAATGTCGCCGTGAAGAGAAGTGACTCCTTGTTCCATCGTCCTGTTGTGTTTTGGTCCTGCCCACGGGTCCTTTGGGTCGGATCACGTTTTCTCCAAGATCCCTTCACATCAGCCTCAAACCGTGACTGTAATCCGTGCAGGATCTATTTCTGTAACTCTCTCGGTTACAGACACAACACAAGGGACTCGGATTCTAGTCTGCGCTTCTGTATGATATCAACGTTTGAAAACGACAAACATAGCCGTGGATGGCCCTGCCTGTGACGTGACTTGTCAGTAGCCTCTACCAGGCTTTCCTACGGGGGTACGGATCCTAGCCTCCATCAGGCCTTCCTACGGGGCCCTACGGGGGTACGGATCCTAGCCTCCATCAGGCCTTCCTACGGGGCCCTACGGGGGTACGGATCCTAGCCTCCATCAGGCCTTCCTACGGGGCCCTACGGGGGTACGGATCCTATAATTCGTTAAAAAAGGCAAAATAGTTGGCCTGAGGAGAGGCAGTCCGCGAGAGGGTTAATTTCCCCCTTCGAACCGGCGCTGCCAGTCTGTTGGCGACTACTGTGTGTAGAGGATGGGTATTTAACTCTTGGGTGCCTTCATAGCATGATGGCCCTGTGATGTGGTGCGTGAGCTAGCCGGAGTATTTGTTGCGTTAGGGAGCCATCTG